AGAACGTTTTATATATGTTTTTAAAATTAGATTTAATTGTAACTTCAACAAAAGTAGGGGCCTCGGTTTCATATGGTTTCCATATAGTTTCATAGCCAGTGGTAAAATTGGGAAGGAGATGAAGTAACATAAACAAATATCGATAAAATGATGTGATTGCTCAATAAATAACTACGTAGTTGCCATGACAGTCATAGTTGTTGGTAAATGGTCACAGTGACCTAAAACAAGCTGTAATGGCAAATGTAGTATCATTAGGTACCAAAGAATAAACCCTTTTTTTTCTACAGGTACCAGATGAACTGTAAAGTTTTCATCCCAAACATTAGTCTATGAAAGAAACGTATTATTTAAGTATTTATTCTATGAATTATCGGTTGTAAACATGGGAATATTATTTACTATTTATTTGGCAATCATGTTTTGATTGTATTTGCCTATATCAGACTATTTAAGTTGTGTCTTCTAATAAGATGTGATGTACTTTTGGAACCAGTACCCTCAGTACCTCAGTGTTCCTTGGTAATTGTATTGTTTAAAGATAATTTAAGAAACAAAGACAGAAACCAGTAGTTAATGGCAAGGGGTGACAGGCCGCACAATCTCCACCTGTGTGAATCATTTGAAAACCTTTCATATTTTCGCTCTAACGAGCAGATCTTTCAAGGATTTTGCTTTCTTAAAAGATATGATAGGTTGACAGAGGAGGAGATACATACTCAAGGAACCAGCTTGCTCCAGCGTGGCAGCATTCCAGGCGGTTCTCTTGTTTGGCTAAGTCGTCCATGATTCACCGCCCTACAGCAGGGTTTAGAGGACACACACCTGTTACACCTTCAGTTTGGTGTTCAAAGTCAGCTGGTTATTGTCCCATACTCTCTTGCTCAGTTTGGCCAAATGATCAGCAGCTTTAGCAACGCGCTTGTAGATTTCCCTGTCGAGCAAAACGTTACTAATGATGGTAGCGCCCAGATAAGTGAAGTAGTCAGTGACTTCAAGCACTTCCATGCCAATGCTGAATGATGGTAGTGCCGGGACGTCCTGAACCATGACATCTTTGTGAGATAAATGAAGGCGATGTACTTGGAGTTATATCTAGCAATGATACGTTTTTCGCCCAGTAGCTTCCATTCCATCAATGCGTTTAATACTTTATCTGACAGGATGATCGCAACGCCTTTTCCGAAATAGTTGTCCTCCTCAACATGTGCCCAGATCTTTCCTTAATCATTCCTGAACTTGTCCATCTTGCTTCACTTATCCTGATGATGCTCATTCAGTATCTCTTCACCCCTTCACGACTTGAGCCAGCTTGCTTGTCTGATGCATAGTATATACATCCAGCATCCAGCTCTGATCTTCTCCTTTGGCAAGAGAAACTCAGCTCTCGAGATGCTGGTTCCCAGCTGGGTTTAGACCCGTCATTGGTCCAGTTGCTTGAATCGTGTTGCTTCTACTGCCATAGCTTTTTTATGGGCAAGGGCTTTCCGCCTTACGCCCAACCGCCAAACTGGAGGACCAGGATGTCTAATTTTGTCTGGCCTCTCACCCTTGACCTGTGCTGCATGGTTGAACCTGCTGGGGGTACATAAGCTCCCCTGGTAAGCTCCAGGGGTCCTAACGGCACAGAAGCTACAATACCAAGGGCAAGGTATAGACACCACAATGGCGGACTCATACCTTCCATTGACCAGTAACTGATAATCGTTATGAATAATGCATTTCATGCTCCATTTATGACAAGTTGAATATTAAAAAGTTTCCGGTTGAAAAAAGATGTTCTTAAATTAAGGACGAATTAACATAATTTGAAGGGAAGTAACTGAAAGTTTATGTCATTTCCCGAAATAGCCACGTTTTATTTAAAATCTCAGTTAAAAGCTTAACTTTCAAAATCAACCACCATAAGTATATTGGATTACAAAAAGAATCCAGGAAACACACTAACTAAACTAGTAGTAATCAGAGATTAGTGACGTGTGTTCTATACCAGAGGTAGGAAGGGGGTACTCTAGGAATTTGTCAATAGGGTGTGTTCCTAAGAACATGGGTTATAGCAGAGGATATTCAGTATTTGGACATCTGATTGTAGGTTGGGCACCAGAAATACCTTTGCTACTACATTTAAATAAAAAATCAGAAACTCGATTATTTTTATGTCAAGATACCCGATTGTTTACGAAATTCTGATTCCTATATCCAAAGTAGGAAAGGCATACCCTTGACAGCAGCGCATACTTAAGTCCATTTATGTCATTTCCCTTCCAGGGTTTTCCGAGTTGTGTATTTTTCGGGGTATTGTTTAACTCTTATGTCCTTCAATTTATTAAATGCCACATTATTATAAACGGTGCATCGTTTAGTAAGGTTAAGTACAGTGTATAACTATAGAAAAGAATAACAGTAAATTGAACTTTATTTCCAAATATGAACGTTTTTAACTTACGTTTAAGCTTACAAGTAAGCTTTTAATAGATCAATTAAGCTTTATACCAGCAGTGAAATTCCTTGAGCGGTCAACTATCATAAATGCTTCACAATTTACTAACATTTCATTCTGATATAAAACTGTGATTGCAGTTTTAGGGAATAATTTCAACCTAGTAAACGAATTTCGGGATGGAAACATTTCCATTTTTTTCTTTCAAAGCGTATGCTTTAGATACCAACTAAGTATAATCAGTGAGGCACCTCTTTGGATTATAATAGTTCACGCAAAGAGCTGATTTATTTCTAGACACTATGCGTTACACGCAATATGAAGAATATACACCGCTATTCTAGATGCATTTAGCGAGCGAATTAATTCATAAACTGCATTTGGTATTTGGTTGGAAAGTATGTTCCAATATTTTTCTACAAAGTCAGGATGTTTCGTATTTGTTTTGCGTTCCTGAACGACACAACCAAAAATCTTCAACCTTCAAGTGAGAAACACCAATTTATAGCAGTCATTGTAACAAAGGTCAAAACGAACATGTCTGAGAAGCATTTCTTAAAATCTTTTTGCATGGCTTGTTCAAAGAAAGCAAACAACTTTTTCAACAGCCTATATCTTGTCATTTAAGAAATAGAAAACAAGTACCGTGTTTCTATCGAGTTTTAGTATAAATCTTCCAGCGATCTATCACGAATGCCGTCCTCTGATTGACTACATTACTCACTATTCAATTCAATTTTAATTCAAACTCTCACAAACGTTAATTTTACAGAGGTGTCAGAAAAAATAAAATACCTACTACCTCACTAGATATGTGTGACATATCATAGAATACATATCACTATCTATTCTGTGATAGATAGTCAGTGGCGTAGCAGGGTGCGCTTGTTAACAAAATGACGGCGGCTTCTTTGCGTTTTCGAGGTGTCTGTGAAGAGTATTTAGATAAAGTTTGGAACGACAAGTAGATTTATACTAAAAACAATTACATTATTCGCTCTTGATTTCTATGCGTGATAGCTGACTCGGGCTGCGCCATCGTCTACTATCGCCCGATAGAAATCTCGAGCTCATAATCTAATTGTTTAATACAAACACGAGTGGATATTTGGGAGAACGAGAAATGCGGTGGCAACAAGAGCCTTCAGGAGAGTGTTTCCACAGCTTTTTCGAGTTCTTCCAAACTTTCACGAGTGTTTCTTTAACTAGATAGAAACACGGAAACCTGTTTTCCATTTCGTTTGGAAAATTCTGCAACGACAAAAAAAAAAAAAAAAAATCTCGTTTACTTTGATCATCAAAATGTTAATTCTCTTTGCTTGAGTCATCATTACGTCAACAGCTCGAGCTAGTTCTGTGTTTTTATCAAGTTATAGAAACACGATTTTAGACCAATAAGCGCGTGTAGTTTCACTGGGCTATTTTCTGGATGTCTATAGTGTGGTGTTCCCAGTAAGTGCTATCGTGCTTTATGTCATTGCACATTTTTGAACAATACATAACCTTTTACCGCATGAAAGTACGAATGGTCACACAAGATGTAGTCGTCAATAGACCTAAAAGGTAGAATCTCACTGAGAACTTTGGAAGAGAATGGGCTATATGTCGAAATTAAATTCATGTTAAATTGTCAAGATCTCTTGCAAATCTATCGACGACTCTGTTTGTTTGTTTGTGGTTATCGGTATTTCACGGTATTTGCTCGAGACAAAATTATTGGTTTAGGTTTCACAATGGCAGTCACGCATGAAGTTGCTCCGGACGCTCTAGTATATTTTGATCAAGAATATGAGAAACTTTCTACATCAAACAGCAATTTTTTGCGGTTCTTGTGAGTAAACTCAGCTATCTGGATACGAAAGATCAATTTAAATGGTTTGGAAACTTTAAAGAACTTATTTGTCTTATCAAGATTCTTCTTGAAGCCAACGATGCCGGCAAATTCTCAGAAGACCAGACCCACAAGATGCTCACTTTTAGAGTTGGTGATATAACTGTGAACTGGTATTCGACTACCAACACGCTACAAACCCAAGGCTCCGGTTTTGCATCATTGTGAACAAAGCTGATAAAATTTTGTTCCTCAAAAGATGAACTGCTCGCCCTACAAGTTATATGTTCTCTACTCCGCTACATAGACTGAAGGGCATCTAATTAGCCTGCTATATTTTTTCCTTTTCCATTTCTCCTCTTACTTGTCTACTTTATATTTATCTTTGTAATTTTAGAATGGAATAAATAAATAAAATGAAATGAAATGAAACACAGACTAAACCAAGGTCACCAAACAGGGACTGGGAGAGACTGGGTAACGGTTTCCTGAAATATTACCTAACGCAGATAAATAACTAGTTTACCAACAGGGCAGTGAATGCGAAGGCTTCCTATGAAGTACTAAGGACCATAACGTCTTAAAATTATACAGGTCTTATCCATATAAAGCACACTAAAATACTTCCTGCAAGTAGGATATTCCGCTATAAATGTGACAGACACAGCACCTTGAACCTTAACAAAATAAGTCAAAGAAACTATTTTTTTTGTAGTCTACATGACATACCTCTTCAGAAATCACCTCTTCAATGATGTTCTTGTCAAGGTCTGAAGAAATGAAAAAAATTGAGATTATTAAATGAACAATATGAAAAAACTTGTCACTTAAATTCGAAAATTAGAGCACCACACACAAAGGAAATGTTTAAAAAGAAGGTAGAGGAGAACAAGGACAGGCATACAATCAATTCTTATTTTTAGGACATTCAATGAGATTACTACCAATCTCATTCTTTACAAAGATTTTACATAGGGCACAAATCCAACCAAGTTTTAGAAAAATCGAGACCCGAGTGATGACGCAGTGAACCAGAAAAATATCGGTAATCAAATCATTCGGGATAAACAGATAGTGAAACTAACAAAAGGGAAACAGACATAAAATGCTTGTAAGTAGACTATAGGGCAAAATATGGTTTGATTTAATTGTTTTATTCAACTACTCAATGAATCAACATAAGTTTGGAATATTTTGAAGGCACAAGTAAACAAATACGTAAGAATAAAAACAAAAGGAGAGAGAAACGACGCTTGGCTCGCACTTCCTTTGTAACCAAATCGTTTAACTTTTAAGGATCACTACTCGCCATTGAGAAGTTCAACTGTGTATGTGTCATGTTATCTCCGTCCATAAAGAGAACAGCCAATTAGATTTTAATCTGTGTGACATGCCATACAGTATCAAATGCATACGAATTCTTGACTTTGTTCCAGTATTCCGTTAATAGGTTCGGTAAAATTCAATCAATTCAATTTTAATTTAAACTCTCACAAACACTAATTTTACAGAAGAGTCAGGAAAAAATAAATACGTATAAATATAAACAAATTACATATAGAAGTTGATGAACAGCAGTAATGAAATAATTTACAATTGCGATAAAAAAATAAAGTGTCAGAAATCGTCAGCTTCATAAACTAAAATCAGTCGGGGTTGAAATCGTGACTCAGTCTGAAAGAACTCGCTCAAAAGCTCTCCCATATACTAAAATCACGAGAAGTGTTTTACAGTACAAACTTAAGGCATTGCATAGTTCACAAACTTAGATAATGAGCTACTATTCAGATCAATCAATCAGCCAATCAATCGTGTTATCAACTCACTTATTAGTGGGCCAGCAAATCTCACCGTCTGCAACTGACCGTCGCTTGCGGCTCTCGATTCAAAGATACTTCGACAAAGCCGTCAAACCTATTGACCAACAGGAATGGAGTAATGAACGAAGACTCCGTACATATCTCTTGGCACATTTACTATTTCTTGAAATATGAGGAAATTTTGGTTTCTATGACGTAGTTTCAGTTTCCGTACCTTTTTTCAAAATCTGACAACAGGAAGCCAAAAATGGGCCAAATTGTCGACAATTTGGAGTGATGGGTCACGCAGTCGGGTGTTTGTAGCAAAGTTATTGTAGCAAAGCCACCCCATCAAACTCAGTACATGTACGCGTGCATCATAATCCAATGATGAACGCTTATGCCGTAAGCAACTTCAACTTGGTTTCGCCTTGAATGCTTTTAGCAGTGCATCATCGAGTTATGATGCACTTAGGAACTCTGGAGAGCACTCAAGAAGCTAGAGTTGCTTTCGGTTGTGTCACGAGCAACTCTTATGAATACCTGGTGCTCTCCAAACTTTCCGCGTGTATCATAAATCGATAACTGAATACACCCTTATTAGGCATGAGTTAATTGTTAAATGACATTCAATGCTGTCACAGATCTGACTTTACACCCGGCTTATTGTTGAACGTGAAGTTTCGAAACTAAACAGTACTCAAAAGTAGCAACTCTCCAAAAGTATTGATAACAATTTTACAATTATTAGAAATAACGAAAGTAGCTACTTTCCGAGATTAACGACGGTGCGAAAGTAGCGTTTTAAGACGTCACCACAAGCGGCCCAGACGTTGAATACGATGAATACGTGACATTATGCTGTTGGCGATTGCGTTACAATTTTAGCCGTTTATAAGACAATGTATGAGAATGNCTTGATAATTTTAAAATCCCGCACAATAGATCAGGAGACACTTGCCACTAACCGTTGAAATAAATAGTTTTTATTGTACTTACCTGAATGTATATACGTCTCCATCTCATCATGACATCAATCATGTGCAACTTCTTTGACCAAAACTCGGAGTTAGGAGGCAAGCGGGTAATAAAATTCTCGTTAACCTCTCTCGTTACGTTCAGCAAGGATTTTAACTTTCATTGCTGGTGAAGGCAGAAATAAATAAAAAATAAATAAATAAATAAATTGCTGGTCAATTTTGGCAGGGCAGCGTTTCTGTGACTTTTCTAAAAATGATACATCACCTCATGTTCATGGCGTGTTGAATGTTAACCGAACCGATTCGTGAAGCTAGTTGAATGGATGTTCCGCCATCCCTCGCGGCGCGGGCACCACGTGGTTAGTATCACAAAACCGGTCTTAGAAATTAGAAAAAAGCTTTCATTGCTATAAACTACGAGTAGTCCTTCTTTCGCATAGTCCGTCGAGCAAGACGCGAAAGAAACGTTCGAGAAAAACATAGCCGCTGGAGATCCTGGGGGCTTGTCAACCCCAGGATCTCGCGCGGCCATTTTTTCCTTCGCGTCTCGCTCGACGGACTAAGCGAAAGAGGGACTACTCGTAGTCTATCATTGCTGGGAATACGACACATATTTCGCATTGTGAGAAATCCAAACGAATTTGCCAAACCAACCGCTTTCTTCCCGTCGAACCTAGAAGTTGGCTTTACAATAAAGGTCACGTAACTCAGTTATAGCACGATATCACGTTCCCAAACGTGACTGCGGCCCCGCGGCTGAATAAGGAGCCGCGTTTTGCTAACTACGACGAAAAGTTAACGCAAAAGATACGAAGACACATCTTACCAAGTCTTGTAGAAAGGTTCTTTGTGGCCATAAACTCTTTGTTAAGCACTTCCCGACATTCTTCAGTCACCTCAAGATAAAGGTATGCCTGTCATACAGAACGAAAGATTTCCACAAGTAGGCAAATAATATGATACACTGTCATGGCACGAATTTCCGGCGCTACATTTACCAATTGTAGTACTGAGATAAAGAAAGTCAATAAACAATAAAGAGTATGATAATGTGTTACCTTGAAAACTATTTGCATGTTTTTTGTGTTTGTTTGAGAACATACACCCTGCATCTTGAAAAGTTTTGTAAACTTTTTTCACGTGCTCACAGTCAATACGGTCGACCATATCTCCTGTCAGCCGGCACGAATAATTGTGGTAAGCCTCAAGAAAACAATGGCAAAAAAAGAGCCGTACAAAGCTAGGGAGTCGAGACTGTCAAAGCTGAAGGAAACAAAGATAAAACAAAGAAACTGCAAACATATTTCAGATTTTATCTCGACTAAAGGACACAACAACTCTTAGAGCTCCAGTTATTGTTCTCTCTAGCGGAACACCGCAAGTAAGTGCTCAGACTACACCTTAAGTTGTCGGCAAACTATTTGTTATCGACAACTAAAATATATCTGTACGCCAGATGAGTAGTCGAAAACAAAACGCTTAATTTTTAGTTATCGACAACTAAGCAATGTCCCTTTTCGAAAAGGAAAACTGCTTTTCTTGTCGACAAAGTACAACGTTTTTGACCATTTTTCCCCGTGTGTGGGAGTCACTGGTTTAGTTGTCGACAACTGTCGAAACTGCGTTCTCAGTGGACAGGGGTTTGAGTATCCCGTTGTATTGTGTTTCCAGCATGCGTAGTCAACTTTAGTTCCCAAGGTCT